AGTTCGGCAGCATCCTACTGTCAAAGAATTAAATTCTTCAGTTGAAACTTGTACATTTTTTTGCTCGGCATATCCTTCTACGACACTTTTGATGGCCGTCAATCACGATACATTGGCTACAATTTGATGCACAAGGGCCAATCAAGTTCTTGTGATTACTCCAAAGGTAAACAAATGATGTGAGAAGACGTGGAAACTCATTCCAGATCCATTCATCAAATTGACAAGCTGAACTTGGTACTGATACTATTGTTGAGCCTAAAGATAAGTCAAATTGAATTATTTTGAACTTCATAAATGCCATAGCCAACTTTTTTCGCCATTTAATTTTTGTGTCAGTTAAATTTGAGTTAAATGCACCAAGATTAAGTCCATCAACAAACTTCTGCCATGAACTAGCTTTACTTAATAGTTGACATGTATAATTCTCAATCAATGTTTGTTCAAACACTTGTCTACCTCCGAGATATACCATATTACCACTTTGTAAACTTTGAGATGTGAATGAACATAGTTTATCCTGTTGATAATAATTTGGAAATACATGAACTATTGGACACATGTTGAAAGTTGTGTTGGTATGTTTACATGATACAGAGAACACTTTACCTAAAACAATTTCTATTTGTTAATTCTACATGTTCATAAAGGAATGTTATCATTACCTTTATCTATTTTGCCCTTTAAAGTAAATACCTGAACAGATAATACATCTGCCATTTCAGCAGTAAGTGCGGATGAACAAATCGGACATATTGATTGATATGGGTTGAGATGAATTGTTTGATCTCTTAGATCAAGAACCGTAGTAACACTTATTGGAGAAAAGATTCGAATAGAATCTTGAGAATTGAAATATGTGATTATACGTTCGATGTCTGATTCTTTGTGTTCCGAAGCAAACGTCTCTCTTAAGATAATGGTCATATTTTGAATTCTATTTGGATCATATTGAGACCAACGTTCATTTAATTCAATTAAAAAATGTAATTCTTGTGGATGAAATATATTGTAAATTTCAGTCAATACTTTCAACTCTTCTGGACTAGTTCGACTAGAAATGTTTGGCATGATTAATATTAGAATCTAAAAAACAATGTTTTTATCGTAAATCTTCTTTTATATATGTTTAATAAAACGATGGTACTAAAATTTGTATTTAAACAAAATACTTAAAAAAAATCTTTTACAGTTTCCCAATAAGCATTCATTTCTTCATCACTAATAACAAATTCAATAAAATCTACTTGATCGGAAATTCCTTTTGGCCATACACAACTTGATTTGTGACAATTAATTGTCAGTATTGATTGTGAGTTAGATGTTTTGTGCTCGATATCAATGCTAGTAGATTGCTCCGAAGTGACTGACGTATTTATAAATGTTGATTTTGGTATAGTGGTTGTTTTATTTGCTTCTTCAAAACTTAATTCAGAAGTCTGAAAATTCAAACTATAAGCTACTGTAGATAAAAATCAACTACTTACATCATTTACTTCACTTAGAACATTTTTATCCTTCGAATCATAAGAAATAGATATCATATCTAAACTTAGAACATCATTTAAAAACGATTGAACACAGATCAATCGTTTTTAAATGATGTTCTAAGTT